AAAAATATAAAAATTAGCTGGGTGAAGTGGTGGGAGCCTGGAATCCCAGCTACTTGGGAGGTTGAGGCATAAGAATGCTTGAACCCGGGAGGTGGAGGCTGCAGTGTGCTGAGGTCATGCCACTGCACTCCAGCCTGAGCAACAGAGCGAGACTCCGTCTGAAAAAACAAAAACGAAACACACACATGGGAAATTATTCACTGCCTATAAACGGAACACAAAGGAAGTGTGTGTGTGTGTGTGTGTGTGTGTATTTATTTATTTTTTAGATAGACAGGGTTACCCAGGCTGGAGTTCAGTGGTATAAAGCATAGCTCACTGCCACCTTGTACTACTCCTGGGCTCAAGTGATCCTCCAACCTCAGTCTCCCAAGTAGCTGGGACTACAGGCGTGCAGTCCCATGCCCGGTTAATTTTTAATTTTTTGTAGAGATAGGGGTCTTGTTTATGTTTCCCAGGCTGGACCTGAACTCCTGGCCTCCAGCAATGTTGCTGCCTCAGCCTCCCAAAGGGCTGGGATTACAGCCATGAGCCACCATGCCCAGCCTATCTCACATTTCAAAAATCAGCTTTTCAAACAACCAAAATGAATCTATTGCAAAAAGAAGAATTTTATATCCTATAATATATACTGTCATGTGAAATATATCAATTGCACTACCCTAAGCACTCTGTATGTAGTAATTTACTTAATGCTCACAACAGCCCTGTGAGGTAAGTATAATAATGTAGAGATCATAATAGATAGAAACTGAAATGCAAAGGGGTTGAGTGACATGATCATAGTTGTACCGCTTCAGAGTGGCAGGACTGAATATAAACTCAGTTAGACTGATAATGGAGCATGGTATTAACAACTGTGTGACACTGCCTCTATAAATTGGAACACCGACTGACAGTGTTGATAATCTTGTATTATGTCTGCTAAGATGCTATTGGCTGTGGGGTGGCAGCAGTGACAAAAGCATTTTTTGGAAATAGGTCATTGGAGAGTGAGAACTGAAGAGTAGCCTCTTTTTTTCTTTTGGAAGCTGTGGTACTTCAGAATAAACAGACACTGACATACTTAAGTTCAACAGAGTCATAATGTTCTGCTGGCTCGGTGATGAGATGAAAATGGAGGCTGAGAGCTTCCCTATAAAGAGGTTGTCGATCTATGACTGAATTTTAGATTCATGGACAGACCTAGAAATTAAGTGAAAAAGGCAGAACCTGGATAATTTTCTATTCTAATTACTTCCTGAGGTGAAACTGTCAAGCATGCAGAAGCAAATATATCAATTATATGGAAGGCTATTTTTGGATATCTGGATATAAAACAAGCTAACATCTTACCAAAGCACAATTCCATCACCAACGGCTTTGAACAGGTCATCAGTGTTTGGGTTCATTGGTATAACGTGTCTGCAATCAGGATCATTTTCCAAAGCTTTGTTTATCCAGTTAACAAAAGCATATTTTTCTTCCTCTAAAATTATGTTAAATAACAAGCAAGACATTAGTTCATACTCTAAGTTAACGATTTGACTCCAAAGCCTAATAGTGCTGAAAGTTAATGTGTCAGAAACGTGTGGTTATTCTGTGTGGAAACCCAGACACTTGGATGCAGCACAGTGGTTATCAGGAATTACAAAATTAAGAAAAAGAATAGAACACATTAACTGGTCCTCAGAGAAGTTACAAAATTCCTTAAAAATTACACTTATCTTACTGTACAATTCACTATAGTAAAGCCTATCATTACATGGATTGTATCCTGTCTCTCGCAAGCTAATAAAGCCATACAATAAATACAATACCTTTATGACAAGTATTAGTTTCAAGCCTAAATACATGTTGCAAAGGACTTCTATTGCATTCTTAATTAGGAGGTAATGATTTTCTAGAGCCCTTCCTTGACATTACAGCATCCATCCCACCTAGCACATTGTATTAACCTAATAATGCCTATGAAATGATTACCTGAGTAAGAATGCTGTGTTCCTTCGCTGGACAACTCTGAAGTTCCACCCAGAGCACAAATACCTTCTTTCCTGTTGATGGCTTTGCGGAAGGTCTTGGCAATATCGCTACTTTTTACCTCTTGAAAAATCTATTAATTAAAGTAATTTTGTTGATTCACAATTAATTTCAAATTAGGCACAATAAGCGTATTCATATTCTTGTATATCTTCATCACTTACATTTTTTCCATAGCTGATGTTAAAAGATATAAAAAATTTGGCTTGAGTTTTTGAAGTGTTAAACAAGTACTACAATACTACTGCTGAAAATGAAGCACCAGAATGTCAATTGCACATCCTTGTCAAAAACATTAAGTGCTACATGCATTGAATCCACTTTAAGCCAAAAACTAATGTGATTCAAAGGCACAGGTAAATCTGTTAATTTTCTACAAACAAGGAAGGCTTTGTTCTTTTCCTGGAGAGAAAACATTGAAGAATCCTCCCTCTTTAATCAAAATTCTTAATGCAAAGAATGATAAAATTTTATAATTTAACCAAAAAATGATTTTACAGTATGAGGTAGCTCATTAAGAATTCATTAAATCAAAAGTTACAGAATAATATGTTTAAAAATGCGTTAAGCTGGTAGTAATAGATGACTGTCAAGAATAAACACCGAAAAGAGGCTTTTCATAGATTGTCTTATTGTGGCATTTATGAAGTTCAGCTTCTCTTCCCAGTAAGGAACATTCTAATTGTACAAAAGCAAGTTATAACAAAGGAACATTCTAACTGTACAAAGGCAAGTTATAACAAAGTAAGTTTCACATCCTAGTACTGTGTAACCATCTGATTGGACGTTCTAAAAGTCTATATTTTTCTGAGGTATTGGAATTTACCTAATTCCAAATGTGTTCCTGATTCACCAATGTGCATGGCTAAATTAGTCAAAGCCAGTAAAACAGAAGCAAGATGTAGAAACTTTCTTTAAATGGTGTTTAGAACCTCATTTAAATGAATTCATTGAAAGAAAACTGAAGACTTCATGGAAAAGTTGCTGAACAAATGCAATTCAAAGACCTTTAACATTCTTGACAAATATGTATTCATACACACATCTCAGGAAGATGTAGCCTATGTCTGTGGTTCATAGAACAGGGTCACAATATACTTAGCAGTTCAGGTTGCATGTGTCAGAGCAGGCACAAGCAGAAGCAGAAATGCAGCCCAAGCTATACTAACCAAGCCTTGTGTCTTGCACAGGACTGTGTCAGGCTGAAAGGAGGAGTGCCTTGTTACATTTCGTCTTTCCAGGAGGGCACCTCTGTGATTAATCCATCTAGAGAAAGTGACTTTTTGGAACTGGTAGAAAAGTTGCTGTATGTGTTGTCAGTGGCCCTCTTACAAAGTCATCTTTTCCTGTTATCTTTCTTAAATCCTTTCTTTGGACTTAAAAATACAATTTTGTCTGGGAGACTAGTTAGTAAGCAGTTAAGTTTTACAAACCAAAACTTACTCAAGTATTTCCATAGCTGCGATTCTGTGCTAGGTATACCGGTAATTTTGGAGGTAGGATTTTAGAATAAATGTCTGTATGTGTTTATGTTTGTATATATATGCAGACACACGTACACACTGACTACTCTAAATACTACATACAACCAATGAAGTCACCCTTCCTGCTTTATGGCCATTATATTGACTCTCACTAAGTATTAACAGTGTAGAGCTGATGCACACACTCCAGGTAGTTTTCAAATCATTAAAATTATTTTTATTTACAATCTGAATTTTTAGTCCAACTGTGCCTTAACTGTGAAGCATTTTGATCCCATAGCTCTCCTTTTGATAATAATGCACCTGCTCAGTGAAAAGACAATAGTCACTAGTCTACTTCTTTCTGAACTCTACTTCATTTAGTGAAACATTGTCTAATAAGTTAAAATCTGAAAGGTGTGCATTTCTTCATGCCTAACATACTACAAGTCCTTGCAATGACAAAAATGTTACAGCTTCAGAATGAGATATGTAAAGTTATATTTCTTATTACAAGTGCTTATGCTTCAAGGATCATTTACTTTTAAGAATTAGGTTGTTTGAATGATCATGATTTCAGCTAAAAAATAAATCCAGGGCCGGGCGTGGTGGCTCACGCCTGTAATTCAAGCACTTTGGAGGCCAAGGCGGGCGGATCACCTGAGGTTGGGAGTTCAAGACCAGCCTGACCAACATGGTGAAGCCCCGTCTTTAAAAAAAATAAAAAAAAGGCCGGGCGCGGTGGCTCAAGCCTGTAATCCCAGCACTGTGGGAGGCCGAGGCGGGTGGATCACGAGGTCAAGAGATCGAGACCATCCTGGTCAACATGGTGAAACCCCGTCTCTACTA